CTGTTGGCGCCAAGGTGGACACACTCATAGACGCGTGCACACACTGGCACCTGTGCAGACACGTGCATGCATGTGCAGATACATGCCTGTGTGTAGGGAGCTGGGAAGGGCTGGTTGCCCCGCCAGAGCTGCCAGAGCACAATGGGCTTCACCCACTGGTCCTCAGGGCTTCCCCAGCTAGTGGGCCAATCGCGGAGGGTGCCGGGCCCTGCCCTGGGAGCTAGCCTGCTGCACAGGCCCCAGCAATCAGGCAGTGCCGAGTGGCAGCCAAGTGGCCTGGGCAGGGTTGGGCCTGGCCCGCTCAGCATCCCTGGCCCAGGGGCCCCGGAAAGGTCATCGGTTCAACTTCATAAAGCTCCTCCTGGCCACTGGCTGGTGTCACCTGGGGACCCTCGCCTGATCTTCTCCATGAGAGGTAAGCCAGAGGCAAGTGCACAATCTGCACATCAAGAGGCCTGGATGGATTCAGACAGACCATTCGCATCCCTCAGCGGTGAACGAGGCCACGAGGTCATGATGTTCCCTAAAACCCTGATCTCTGGGATTAGCCCTGACAATCGGTCAGGGCGTAGGGGTCATTTTTAAGTGGGTTTTGTTCCACAGGAGGATTGGAGGTTCTGAGAAGGTGTCATGTAGACAGGGTAGGTAAACAAAAGTTTCGTTATGATCCGCTGGCACGGCCACTTCACAGGCACAAAAAGTCAATGACCCAGTTACAGACAGTGAGTGGCCGAGACCCAAGCTGGACCTCTGTAAGAGTGGCCTCAGCACAGGGTGGGGCAGGGTCTTGGGGCCACTGGGTCAGACCCCAGTGGTCCACCAGGGGTCAGTCACTCCCAGGGTGTGCCAAGGGGGGCTCTGCTCAGATGCCCAGGACAGCCCCCTGCACAGCCGCGGTGTCCAGCATGAGTGAGTTTCTTCACCCTGATTCAGCCCCACGTTCTGGCCTCTGCCGGTGACTTCCCTGGATAGGGAGGGGTGCCGACCCTCCCCAGCCTGGCTCCCAGGCAGGACCAGCACCTGAGGCCTGTGGTGGCCTTACACACAGCCAGGTGCAGAGTGGCTGTGCCACTCCTGGCCTCCTCTGCATGGGGGGTGGCTTAGGGCCCAGGCAGGGGCCTGGAATGGAAATCCAGCCCCACACGCCCACACCCGTGCTCCCCCCGCCCCAAACCAGGCCGATTCCCTCCCAGCCTCCCTCCCAGCCTCGTCTGTGAGCCCTTCCAGCAGGCAGGGCTCACAGACATGCCCCAAGGGCGCCCCCATCCCTCACCTGTCACCCCACCTCAGGGAGGGGATGCATCAGATAACCTGGTAAGTCACACATCAAAACACTTTTTAAAGGAGGCCATGGAAAAGACAGCGTTTCCTCAGCCTGGTTACCGACGCATATAACAAAATATATGTAAGAAAGTCGGCTACTTAATCACGGAGACAAAGAGCCACTGTGGGAGATTGTTCTGCTTAAAAAATGCGGTGGTGACTTGCAAATATGTTTTTAGAAGCAATTTTATTACAAACTGTCCCATCGGGTAGCGCCTGGAAAATTATGGGGAGCTGTGTTCATTGCTCAGAGGCCCGGACAGCAGCGGGAGTTGTTAGGGGAGGATTTATTCCAGCAGAGCCGGAGGGGCCCGGGCCTGGTGGGGAGGGGACAGGCTCCATTGGGTCCTGGGTCCTGGGTCCTTTCCAAGGGGCCAGGTGCAGGGTCCCTGCAGGCCCCTCCCAGTGCTCAGTGGAGGGGCCCTGGGAACGAGGAACACCCACAGGAAATGCACATACTGCAGGATGCTGGCAGGAGGCCTGTGCTCAGGGACATGGCCCCAGGAGCCAGCCAAAGGGGAGAAGGGAACACAGCCCGGGCCTCACTGGATATTTCAGAGGGACAGGGGCCCCAGCAGTGAGAAGAAGCCACAAGAAGCAGGCACATGGCCTGAGAATCTTTCCTTTCTAAGGAGGTGTGAGACCTGGAGTCCACAGAGGCCACGTGGGGTCTCTTGCTTCCCCTCCTCTCCACTCCCCTTCATCCTCCTGCTCCTCCTCCTCCCCAGCACTGTAGGAATCCCCTCCCCTGGAGGCTGCAGCTGGTGTCACTGCCAAGTGATACGCAGGAGGGACATGGGCTCACCGCAGGAGTAGGTTATAAGGGAGGCCGTGCCTTCTGTCTCGGGTGCTGGCTCAGTTTTCTCCCCTCCCTCCTCCCGTCATCCCACCCTGACACTCCTTTTCTGTCTCACTGCGGGGCGTGTCCACTCAGCCTCTGGAGAAGCTGAAAGAGGTGAGGAACTGATGTCCCTGGTGGACAGTCAGTGAACATCTGTGGCCTGTGAGTGTTCCTAGAAGCAGATTCGCTACCAGTCAAGCTCTGAGGTGCCTACAACCATGGCTGACAATTTCACTGCAGTGTCTCAAGAGACCCTGAGCCAATACTGCCCGGTTCACCCACTCTCAGATTCCTGAGGGTCCCTCACAGACCGTGTGGGATCATAAATGTTTGTCTTTTTCAGCCACTATGTTTTCAGGTAATTTGTTACATAGCAATAGATCACTAATACAGCCAAGCACCATAGTTATCACCATCATCACCACCATTATTGTCCCCAACACATCACCCTCAGATCCATCACCACCATCATCATTGCCACCATCACCACCATCACCATCGTCACCACCACCACCACCACCACCACCACCATCATCATCATCACTATCATCACTATCACCACTACCATCATCATCACCATCACAATTATCATCACCACCATCTTCGTTCCTTCCCAGGCCACAGCACTTTCACACCTGCTCTCTTAATAATCAGAACAGCCCTGTAAAATAAGGAAACAGACTCAGAGAGGTGAAGCAACTTGCTCAGGGCCACCTAGCTGACTGATGAAAGAAGCCAGGCTAAGGCCAAGTCCATCCAGCTCCAGCTGCAAGTTGAACCCTTCTCCAAAGCCAGAATAGGTGGGTCTGCTGGCCCATCTTCCCTGGGGGCCTTTTAGTCCTAAGTGGAAGGATATGGCCACCCAGTCAGGCCCAGCAAAAAGAGGTAGGAAGGGTGGGTTTGTTAGGGTAGGGCTTCCTGCCCAGCCTTGGCCTTGAGCCCTTGAGGGCTGCTTCCCTGAGACCTTGCTCAGGCAGCCCCTACTCCTCATTCCCCTCTACATCCCCTCTACGTCCTGGTCTCCTATGCGGCAGCCTGGGAGCACGGCCCTGAGTCAGCAGTAGTGCCCAGGGGCAGCCTGTGGGGGGGGGCAGACCACCCATCACAGTGTCCCAGTTTATTTAAAATGACATTCAGTGCCCTGAGAGACAGAGTAATGGTACCACCATGGGAGAAGAGGCTGGGCAGGTACTTGGAGGAGTTGGGGTTGTCCAGGTAGGCCTCGCACCTAGGTGATCTGCATAGCCAGGTAACCTGCACACCCAGGTAACCTGAATGGCTGGGTAACCTGCACACCAGGGTAACCTACATGGCTGGGTAACCTGCACACCAGGGTAACCTGCACACCGGGGTAACCTGCACACCAGGGTAACCTGCACACCAGGTAACCTGCCCAGCTGGGTAACCTGCACACCGGGGTAACCTGCACACCGGGGTAACCTGCACACCAGGGTAACCTGCACACCGGGGTAACCTGCACACCGGGGTAACCTGCACACCGGGGTAACCTGCACACCGGGGTAACCTGCAACCTGCCCAGCTGGGTAACCTGCATGGGTGAGTAACCTGCACACCAGGGTAACCTGCACACCGGGGTAACCTGCACACCGGGGTAACCTGCACACCGGGGTAACCTGCACACCGGGGTAACCTGCCCAGCTGGGTAACCTGCATGGGTGAGTAACCTGCACACCATGGTAACCTGCATAGCCAGGTAACCTGCACAGCTGGGTGGGCTCCCAGGCCTGTAGGCTGCTACTGCTGGTGATGCCTGAGGAGAGCACACGGGGAGGAGGACGAGGCCAGACAGCGGCCCACAGAGGAGGAGCTAGCAAGACATTAACTGTCCTATTTAGGGCTTTTTTCTCCTCAAATGGCAACTAGAATTCTGAGGCCTTTGGAGAAAGCAAGTGACTCAGAGCGAGACGACTTATAGATCAAGCCAAAGGGGTGAAGGGCTGCTTTGGCAGGTGCCACCGGACTGCGGCAGACGCATCTGGGATACCCACCTATGAAACCATCAGAGACTGTGAGCCATGCACCTCACCCCTCCCACCTCTCCCCTCCCTTCCCCTACCCCCACTCTTATCCTCCCTCCCCTCCCCCTTTCCCTCATATCTCCTCCTCTCCCCCTTACCTCCCCCTTCTCCTTCCTCCCCCTTCTCCTTCCTCCTCCCCTTCTCTTGCCTCTACCTTCCCCTCATATCTTCCCGCCACCTCCCCTCCTCCCTATAGAGATGTGATTGGATGGCCTGGCCATGTGTCCACCCCTGGGCCAATCACTGTGGTCTGAGGCAGAGATGGGCACAGTGATTGGGTGGCCCTGGCCATGTGCCCTCCCCTCATGACCAAGTGGGGTCACTGTTGTATGGACAGTATGGCCACATGAAGTCCCTCTGGGGACTTTATGGGGACTGGGGGACAGAACCACACAAGCTACCCTGACGGAAGATTCCCGGGTTTCCCAGCAGGCTGGAAAGCCAGGGTCTGGGAGCCTGAGGGAGGCTGAGTGGGCAGCAGGGCTGGGCCTGGGCTGGACACAGTGTGTGGCTGGGCCGCCCCCCAGGTGTGGACACCCTCCTTGAGCGCTGGAAGGCTTGTGTCCCCCCAAAGGTGGGCCATCTGCAGACAGGAACCAGCCCTGAGGACCTGGAAAACGTTAGGGCCAGCAAGAGGCCCAGCAGTTCCTGGCCAGGGGGTGTCCCATCCACAGGGACACAGCAGACTCAGCTTCTTGGCTGCCAGGGCTTCGGGACAGGGAGAGGGGTGACTGCTTAGCAGGAACAGGATTTCCTTCTGGGATGTTAAAGGCAAAATAAAAATGTAGAGACGCATCTGCAAATTTAACATTTTCTTTGGAAAGAAAGAATTGCCATTCAAGACATACACCAGACTGCATGGCCTTCAGTATGTCCGAAGAACAAAGAGAAGGTTGCAGGTTTTATGAAAGGAATGTTCGTGTGGCCCTGAGGGAAGGTCCACTGGGATTAGGAATGCTCTGGAGGTGGCAGGCTCCTGCTGCCAGGCAAGGTCAGTCGAGTTGCAGAAGTCACCTCGAGGCTGCAGATGAAACGGGTCTCTGGTTACAACGGGCAGTGTCAGCAGCTGGACTCGCAGAGATTCACATTTCTAGAGCGATGTTCTGTGTCCTGGGTGCTTCCCCCCGCCCCTCAACTCTGATTTAGTTGGGTATGACAAGAATGACTCAATTAATATCATCAGCTTTCACAGGGTGATGAAAATGTTCTGGAATTAGGTAGTGGTGATGGCTGCACACCTTGTAGATACACTAAAAATCAGAGAATCTTACACTTTACAACGCTTAATCTCATTATTTTAATTATATTTCAATTTCAAAGAGCAGGGAGAAAAAATATTTTACAGCTTAATACTAAGAAAACCAGTTAAAAACAGGCAAATATTTGAAACCCCCCCTTTTTTTTATTGAGACAGAGTCTCACTCTGTTGCCTGGGCCAGAGTGCCATGGCGTCAGCCTAGCTCACAGCAACCTCAAACTCCTGGGCTCAAGCGATCCTCCTGCCTCAGCCTCCTCAGTAGCTAAGACTATAGGCACAGGGCACTGCACCTGGCTAATTTTTTCTATTTTTAGTTGTTTGGCTAATTTCTTTCTATTTATAGTAGAGACGGGGTCTCGCTCTTGCTCAGGCTGATCTTGAACTCCTGAGCTTAAGCGATCCTCCCACCTCGGCCTCCCAGAGTGTTAGGATTACGGGCGTGAGCCACTGTGCCCAGCCTATTTGAACTCTTTTACCAAAAAAGATACATGGATAGCAAACAAACCCATGAAAAGATGCTCAACGTCATTACTCGCTAGGGCAATGCAAGTTAATACCACAGGCAGAGGCCACTCCACACGTGAGAATGGATTTGGGGGAGCATGCACACGCTGCTCACGGAATTTAAAGTGGTACAGCCAGTTAGAAAAACAGCTTGGCAGTTTCTTAAAAAGCTAAATACACAACTACCATACAATCTAGCCATTTCACTGCTAGGTATTTACGGGGAAATGAAAGCACGTGTCCACACAGATATTTGAACATGAAGTTCACCATGGCTTTATCTGTAAAAGCCCAAACTGGATACTCCTCAAATATTCATCAACAGGTGACCTGTGAGACCGGCTGCGTTATGCCTGTGCAGTGAGCACAAAGCAGCAGTGAACAGAACAAACTACAGTCACTCGAGTAACAGAAACGAACCTCAGCATGATCATCTAGTGAGAGAAGCCAGAAGGAAAAAAGTACTTTCTCTAGAAAGAGAAAATTAACTTACAGTGACAAAAAGATCTGTGGTTCTTGGGGACAGGGTGGGGTCTGAGGAGAGGCTGAGAGGGGAGGGCTTAAGAAGGGGCAGAGCCATCTTCTGGGGATGACAGAAATGGTCAACATTGGGACTATGGCGCTGTTCTCATTGGCACAGGCATGCGTCCAAACCCATCAAATGGCACACTTTAAATATGTGCCGTTTGCTGTATGTCAGTGATACTTTGATAAAGCTGTTTTAGAAAAGTGAACCCATCCCTGAGGCCGTGCTGCTCTCCCTGGTCAGCTGCCTGTGTCCCCAGTGGGGCTGGCAGCTGTCAGTCCCAACCTTCTGTGGCCTCTGGCTGGAGGCCACGCAGTCACAGACAGCGGCTACTCCTGCTCCTTCCTTGCACGGAAGCAGGGCCTCCCTCGGATCCTAGAAGCTCGGGTGAGCAGGCAGATGAACGAATCCCTGTCCAGCGGGTGTGAGCACTGAATACCTCAGAGGCTTAGTAGAGGAGGAGGGGTCAACAGGAGTACACAGTGGCCCCAGCCCTGAGCAAGGTCACAGTCTACCACTCCCTACCCACCAGGCCCCTGGAGCCTGCACTGCCTGCCGTCCCCTCCTCCAGGTGCCAGAGTTCCAGCCCAGGACTGGCTTTGGGCTTCAGCTCTGCTGCCTGCCCTGTGTGAGTGCACCCTCCCTCCCTGCCGGTAAGACAGAGCCCCACGCTGCTCCCCAGGACACCTTGCCCTGCTGTTTCCCCCAAGCAGAGCGCAGAGGGAGGCCCTGAGGCCCAGGTACCTGGGTGCTCCCCGAGGGGTGGTGGGGGAGGGAGGGGAGCTCTAAAGGGCGCACCGTGCCCTGCCCTGCCTCGCCCTCATCTGCTGGGTCAGACAGCGCAGGCATCTTGCTCTGCCTGAGCCCACCTCTAGGAGAACGGAGGCCAAACCACTTTTCCTTCCCAGGTGGCCACACTGATCCCCAAGCCTGGCTCTGAGAGCACGCTGGGGCGTCCTGCCTGGGTCAGCTTGCCCGCGGCCGTGCCCACCCCTCGACAGCTGGCCCGTTGGGTGGTCCTGTCTGCATCTGCAAGGCTGAACTTTTCCAGCTGCCAACCCGACACAGCCCAGGGAAACAGGATTGCCCCAGACAGAGAACAGAGACACAAAGTGTGAAAAATTGGACTGACAGCGCTGCACTGATAGCTTGTTGAACGAGTGAGCGAGCGCTGGCAGGGAAATTTACATTTATATAGTGCATTTCACCAGGCTGGGCCAGGGCCATGGCCCGACCCGGCACCACGTAATGCCCAGCACGACACAGGCCCACCCTCCAGGGCCCCAGGAGGTTCCACCGTGAGCCTGGCAGGACCCAGGGTGGGCAGAGCCCGGCCGGTGGCGGGTGTGACCCCACATGGCTCCCCCAGGCTACTCGACTCCCACTGTGAGCCCTCCACCTGCAGTACAGGGTCCTCCATCCTTCTAGCCAGGCCTCCCACCGATCTGGGTCAGCCCTGCCCTGCTGACCCCGCTGTGGCCTCTCCAGATGACAAGCCTCCCCAGAGAGTGGCCACCTCTCACCTCTTCTTGCCCCTACGACCTCACATCCCTCACACACTCTGAGGGACGCATGGGAAGTTCCAGCCGGAGCTGGTGGGGAGCCCCAAGGACTGGGGTCAGGGACAGACTCCCTCGAGTGCCCTGCTCACCACACCAGGCACGGGCCACCAGGCCAGAGGAAGCATGGAGGCCGGTGTGGACTGAACTTGGAGACGGGGCCTCTGAGGAGCTAATCAAGGCTAGATGAGACCATACCAGTGGGACCCTAACCCGACGTGATGGGTGCCCTACAAGAAGAGAGAGAGTGACACGGGGTCGTGAGCACACAGTGAGAGGATGCCATCTGCAAGCCAAGGAAAGTGGCCTGGAGGGGTCACGCCTGCTGGTACCTTGATCTCGGACTTCAGCCTCCAGACCGTGAGAAGACCAACGTCTGCGGTGTTTTGCTACGGCAGCCTGAGCGGACACAGGTGTCAGTGCTGGAAAGCGAAGGAGAAACGACCATTTTTTTTTACTGATGACGTGGCCACATCCCTGGAAGCATCAACTGAAATCACCTCTAACAAAAATGCGCTTGAGTAAGGAAGCCGAAGACAAAATGAATAAGCCCAAACCAACACCCCGAAGAAAGAAAACAAAAAAAGACAAAATGCTTAAGATAAAACTTAGCAAGAAAAATGTGAGCCTGCACAAAGGAAGCTCCCGTGTTCCACTGAGGGACAGAGAAATGTGAAAAACAGCCCACCCTGGGACCAAAGAGTCACAGGGGCCCTGCGCTTAGTTTAATGCTTCGTGTCTTAAATTCTTAATACTTTTAAACAAGGGGCCTCTCCAGTTCGTTCTGCACAGATCCTGTGGGTGATCTCTGCCCCCTCCTCCCCAGCAGCCTCAGCTGCAGCCGTGACAACGTCCAGGAGCTAGTCGCCCGCTAAGTGAGGCCTCTGCCTCTCCAGAGGGCCCTGGTCCTGTGTTTCAGGACAAAGTTCAGTGGCCACCTCCCCTTTCCTGACTCCTGGCTGGATCTGAGCGCTGTGGGACACGCCCCTTCTGCCCCATCAGCTTGCAGAGAGGGGCGTGTGGATTAGCACCTCACAGTCCTAACAGCACTCAGGACAGGGCCAGCTCGAGCCCCAGCTCTGCAGATGACAGCCAGGCTGGGATCCAACCTGGAGCCTGACCACTGCACATCGTTTCGGAGGAGACAAACCTCTCTAAGCAACACAAAACACAGATGCCATAAAGGAAGATTGATAAATTTGACAACATAAAATCAAGCATTTCTAAATGGCAAAAAATTCCCTCTCCCAAAAAAAGACAAATGGGGGTGGGGAGGGGATGTAACATATAGAAGAATGAAAGGCCAACATCCTTTAAAAGCTCCTAAAAAGAAAAAAGAAAAAGATTGGCAACATATAATAATAGAAAATGAGCAAAGGCCGGGAGAGCAGACAGGCAGCGCCTTCTCCCGCTGGGCCCCAGGGCCTGCCGTGGTGGCCAGGGCAGGCTCAGTGTCGCTATGGCTCACTCCTTTTGCCCCCAGCCTCCCGCCACACTGAACCTGCCACAGTTGGGACCCCCATGTCTCCCAGTCTCTGGCTCCTGCCGAGGCCTCCTCTGTTCTCTTGCGCTGTGGTGAGTGTGAAGCCAGAATGGTCAGTCTGTGAGCAGGGGAGGCTGGCACTGACACTTCCGGAGCCCTGTCGTAACAGTCCCAAGGTGTCACCAGGCACATGACTGTCGAGGCTCCTACCCTCCCTGCACTGCCGATGCTCCCCGGGGCCTCCGGGCAGGGGCAGAATTCTGGGGACATCAGCCTCTGCAGCTGAGGATGTGCCAGGGAGTGGGACGGCCTGTCCTGGCAGCCTTCCAGGAAGGACAGAGTCCCTCGGGCTCTGCTTCAGAGAGCTGCCTCTGCTCCCAAAGCCAGCTCTGCTCCTGCAGGTGGACTTCTGCAGCGCTATCTTCCTAAGCTCTGCAAGTGTCTTAAATAAAATGCACTTTATTTGATTAACTGAGTGGAGAGAGCCTCGGCACCTCCCTGGGTGTCCATCAATTTTGCCAGGATGGGGCAGTGAGCGTCACCCTGGAGGGCACCGGGAATACATCCATTACTGCCCAGAAGTGGCATTTTTCTTGGGAGGCAGTGGAAGAGGTTCATCATTTTGATAACAGAAGCATGTGGCATTTACAGATTTTGTGACACTTACTAGGCCAGGGCTATGCAGGGAGAGCGGGCAGAGGGGAGCTCCACTGCCAGGTCAGTAATGGGCCAGGAGGAAGGGCATTTCTTCTTGCAATGGCTGAATCTGGGAGTTCAACCAGTACCCAAAAAGCCTCACCTGGGCCCAGGTTGGAAAAATGGAAGGAAAACTGTCCCTTACATCTTCCAAGAGCAGCCAGCCAGATTATCTTTTTTTTTTTTTTTTTTTTTTTTTTGAGACAGAGTCTTGCTTTGTTGTCCAGGCTAGAGTGAGTGCCGTGGCGTCAGCCTAGCTCACAGCAACCTCAAACTCCTGGGCTCGAGCGATCCTTCTGCCTCAGCCTCCCGAGTAGCTGGGACTACAGGCATGCGCCACCATGCCCGGCTAATTTTTTATATATATATCAGTTGGCCAATTAATTTCTTTCTATTATAGTAGAGACGGGGTCTCGCTCTTGCTCAGGCTGGTTTTGAACTCCTGACCTTGAGCAATCCGCCCGCCTCGGCCTCCCAGAGAGCTAGGATTACAGGCGTGAGCCACCGCGCCCGGCCCAGATTATCTTAAACATGAAAATATGTTTGGATCCCCTCTCCCTGGGCCTAGCCACAGCCCCTTCTCTGCACTTGCCTACCCATGCTGACCTGATGGGTGGGGCCTGGCTTCTGTCCTCCTGTACTTGGGGATGTTGTCTCTACCGTGTCTCCAGTCCCCCAGGGAGGGGTCCACTCAAAGGCCCCATCAGGCCTGGCCCCTATGTCCTGCTGCTGCTGCTGCTTCTAGAGGGGGCAGGACATGTGGGCCATGAAGTAGGGGCAAAGCTGGGGGCCCATGGACCTGCTCTAATGACACTGTGCCTGCAGCTTCACCTTGAGGAGCACCCTGCCCACCCCAGGTCCCTCTACCCCAGGGCCCCCAGGAGTCCCACCCCAGGGCCTGCAGGGCCTCCACCCCATGGCCCCCAAGAACCCTCCCCAAGGCCCCAGGGCCCTCAGGGCCGGCACCCCCCAGGGCCTCACCCCAGGGCCCTCAGAGCTCCCCCATAGGCCCCCCCAGGACCCCCACCCAGGGCCCCTAGGGCTCCCACCCAGTCCTCCCCCAGGCCATTCAGGTCTTTACCTTGAGTCACTGGGCTGGCCGGGTCTCCCTCTGCTGCTCGCTGGGCACAGCCCCTGACTGTCACCATGTATTCATTCACCCGAGGTCAGAGGCCAGGTAATGGTCTAGGTGGACTCTGGCCGAAGCTCCTCCCATCCTCTGAGCCGTGAGGTCTCTGCCCCACCCATCGCACTGGAATTGGGCTCTGATTGGCCCAAGTGCAGCGCTCCGGCTATGGAATTGGCTGGGGCATGCACGTGACCTGGGCTAGCCCAATCAGACGCAGGACGGGAGCACCCAGGGGTGGCCAGGTTGGAGCTCGGCAGAGCGAGGCCTGCAGACCAGGTCCAGGCAGCTAGGCTTCCAGGGGACGCCGGCTCCTGGGACCTACCTGGGCCAGGGACGAGGGTCTGGAGGGCAGGGCCGGCCGCAGTCAGCCCCAGGGGAGTGGGCTTGGTTGTGGGGTGGGTGGGGGCGGTGGCTGTCTGCGCGGGCCCCCTGCCCAGCGGAGCCGGCCTGCAGCCCAGTGGCCGCCCGAGGCACTGCCCAGGACAAACGCTCCGGAGGGCGGGCTTTCCACAGTGGCTTTGGGAGATTTTTTATGCCGCCCACGAGTTATCAATCTCCGCTCCCTCAAAGACAAATGCCGCATCAGGCTGGCTGCCCGGACCCCCTATTTATCACCATTTAATATATATTAAAGCGCACTCACTTCTGATTGCGAAAACAAACAAAAAAAGCTTCATCAATCACGGGGCAGCAACAGGCGGGAGGCAGGCGGGGCACGGGCCGGGTGTTGGGGTCGCCCAACCGCCCTTTGCTTCCCTGCCGTGGCAGAGGCTCACGGACACTCGTGGAGGGTCCAGGGGTGTAGACAACCCCCTTCTTTGGCCCAGGCCTCCCCAGCATGTGGCTGGCACACCCCACGGGCACACCAGCCCCTCCCAGTCTGCTCCCCCAGTGAGGTCAACCCCAGTACAGAGGAGGAAACTGAGGCACAGAGGGATTGTCCTGTGGCCAGAAAGTGTTCAGGAAGACACTGGTGCCCTGGCACACCCCTCGGGGCAGATCTGAACATTGGGAACCCATCACAGCTGCCCTGTCCAGCCTGCTAGGACTGTCTAGACACAGACACAGGTGGCCTGGGGTTTAGGGACCCCCAGTGCAAGGGAGCCACTGACTTCACTCAACAAGGGGGCTGGTCCTAGCTGTCCTTCCCAGGGTCTCAGGGCCCATGGCCTCCATGTTAAGGTTGGGGAAAAGAAGGCATATCTGTGGTGGACCCAGGGCAGACTCTCACCAGGAGAAATGGACCACGGAAACGTTGAATTCCAGAGCATGAGTTGTAGTCGGAGACGGCATGGAGTGAGCAGAACCCTCCCTGTCCGGCCATTGGCCACTACTGACTTACTGACGCAGCCAATAAAGACAAGACTGGGAATTGGCCAGAGGTGGAGCCAGGAGCCTCAGGGCTCAGAGGTGCATGGCCCACTCTACAGGTAGAGAAAGTGAGGCCAGGGCCAGGCGGGCTTACACTGGGTCAGGCATCCTGTGCATCGACGGGTTCTCCCCCCAGCCCTGCCCCCACCCCTCCCTGCCTCTGCAACCATCTCTCTCTGTTGCCACCCACCACTCCCCCATCCCATAATAAGCCTTGCTTGGTCCCATGGGGACTGCGGCGCGAAGGGAGGGGCACAGGCTCGGGCCACTAAATCAGTCCACGCCTGTCACCAGCTCAGGGCGCAGGAGCCGCCCGAGCGGAAATAACAAATGGCTGTCATTGTGGAGCCAAAACCTGTGATTATAATTATCACATCCTCGGTGACCTTGCGTAAACTTTAATCCCTCTCCAATGGAGCATTTAAATAGCCTTCGCTGCGCTGCAGAGCCCCGGCCCGCCCGCTGTGCCCCCAGCCCCAGCAGCTGGCTCCCAGGGGACAGGGACGCCTCTGGAACCACTGTGCCTGCCATGGCGACACACAGGTTCTGAGCTGGGGGCACCCGTGACCAACCACCCAGCTGGGGGGCTCCCTAGACCCCATTTCACAGAAGAGGGGGTGGGGATGTTCAGCAGCCCAGGGAGGTGCGGAGCAGCTCCAGGCCCTCTGACTCACTCGCCAGGCCCCACCACCTGGTCCTGGGGTAGGACAGTGGGGCTGGAGCACCCCTGAGGCCCCTCGCTCAGCCTAAGGGCGGCAGCCTTCCTACCTCTTCCTCAGCCAGGCCGCCGCTGCCTCCACAGCCCCCACTGCCGCGCGGGCCTTGGAGTGGGCACCTCAGCCGGGAGGCGTCAGGAGAGGCCCTTCTTGCAGCTTGAGGGGTCCCTTAAGAGTGGCTCCCTCCAAGGACAGGACCCCAGAATGTGTCAGGGTGGGGCAGCTGTGGGCCTGGGGGGCATGGCCCTCCCCCGCATCAGTGCGGCCATCCCAGCTGGACGTCCACAGCGAGAAGAACTACTAGGGCCATGAGGGGTCTGGGCACAAAATGGACCCCTCCCCACGGCCCACGGCCACCAGCACACACCTCCCACCGGGCAAGGGAGTGCCCGGGAGCCCGGCCTCCAAGCCGCGTCCTCTCACCGACGGGGCTTTGGACTCAGCCCTCATTGTGCAGGAGCCCAGGGCTCAGCCTCTGCCCAGCCCCTCCCACGCATGTGCTCCTGGTGGGGGGTTGGGGGGGTCCGAAAGCTCCCTGAGCCCCTACCTGGGACCTGAACCCAGTGGAGGCAGGGCGGGGGAGACACCGGGAGCCCACACAGGGTGGGCTCGGTGCCCACCCCCTCCACCTTGTTCTCCCCACTCTCCTGAAGGAGGCGTCAGGGGTCGGAGATGGCCGGGACGGTTCTCTACGCTGAGAAAGCCTGGTGCTCTCCCTGGGCCCCACATGGGAGTCCAAGGTCGGTGCCCCCCAAACTGTGTCCTTTGATAGTACTGTATTTAGAAAGGACGCTCCCACAGGCTCCTCCCAGGGTGGGGGCAGAGAGGCTCTCTACGCCCCTCACCAAAGGCACTGACAAGTCCTGTCATAAAGAACCTCTTTGACCCCGTTTGAGTCCTGAGTTCTCCATATCAGTGTAAGTGGGAGCCTTGTTTTCACAGCACCCCCATGAACCCTCTTGAAGTTGGAGGAGGGGTGGGACTTCATTCTCTCCCTCCTGGGGTCACACGCTGTGCTGGGTACTGGGATAGCCAAGGCCTGGCAGACAAGGTCCCTGCCCCACCCAGAACTGACTGGAGTTAATCAAATCAGGACAAGTGCAGGTGTCCACCGCGAGGTGCATGGGCCCAGGGAGTCAGGAGATGTCTCAAGGGAGTGGTCTAAGCAGGGATGTGGATGAGGAGGGGACACGGCCAGCAGACGGGTGGGAAGGGGGTTCCAGCAGAGGGAATGGCACGTGCAGAGCTGGGGGGGGGGACGAGGATCTCTGAGAGGTGGAGATCAAGAGGAGCCCAGGTCAGGCCCTCACCTGGGGCAGGGGTCCCTTCTCTTGCCCTCACCTGCCACGTACACTGGCACATCTGTCCCCATCTGCTGTGACAGCAGCTCAATGCCAGTGGTGGGCTGGGCAGGTCTTCTTGAGTCAGTGTGGGGGGCATGACAACATGCCCCGTGGTGGCATGTTGTCAGGGTGCCTACCAGGCAACTAGGGGGGCGTGGGGAGCCAAGGTACTGTGCCCAGCCCCCGACGGTCCCCTAGCTTGACTCCCCCTCAGTCGGCAGGGTCAGAGCCCACCCCCAGGGGCTCCCCGGCCCAGCACCCTTCTCTGCTCCTGTCCCTAGCCTTGCCTCTCCATGCAGGCCCCAGCCTACCCTGTCCCTCAGTGTGGGTGTGTCCTCTGCGCGTCTCCGCTCAGGGGAATCCCAGCTCGTCCCCTGAAACCCTACGGGTATCCTCCAGAAGGGTCTCCCCCTGGCTTTGAGCACCGCAAGCACAGCCTTTTCCTCACTCAGATGTCTCCCCAGGGTGGAGAGAGGGTAGTGGGAGCAAGAGGAAGCCCCCAGGGAGCTCGCCATGAAAATCCCGGCCCTCCGTGCAGCTGGGACTCCAGGGAGACATGCTCCGTGGCCCTTGGCATGGTGGGGTGGGGCAGGACCTTGAGGCAGGAGCACCTCATGCTGGGTGGTGGGAGTGGCCAGGCCAGGCCTGGACACATGGGTCTGTGCATGCCTACGTGAGCATGTGCATACATGCACACTCATGCATAAGCACACACATGATGCACACACATGGTCAAGGCACATGTGCGGTGCCAGGTGAAGGGCTGGGGGCGGTGCCAGGTGAAGTGGGTGGGGTGTTGGCTGTGCAGTAGGCCCCGGCAGTCTGGGTGGCAACTAAGTCTGTAGTGGGGAGAGGTGCCAGTGGGGACCAGGAGGGCCTTCGGCTGAGCCCTGAGTCACCCCAGAGTGATGTGGGCAGAGTAAGCAGGCCCTTGAGATGGCAGGAAAAGACTGAGACCACAGTGGCCAGGAGGGGCACGTCCTTTGGGTGGAGAGAGGACAGTTCCCAGGGGGAGGGCATGGCTAGCCAGGACAGGTCCCCAGGGTCAGAGGTTGAGGCACAGTAGGTCCCAGTTTGGTCCGGCAACAAGGAGGACGTTGGGGCCAGGCCTGAGCCATGACCTCCCAGGGACGGTGCAGAAAGGGCAGCAGGGACTGGAGACCCCAGGCCAGTGAGGCAGCAGACACAGAGAGGCTGGGGGAGGGGCACTGGCCAGAGGGGAAGTGGGGGGTCCTGGCTCCCCGCAGGGCCAGCTTGGAGGGGGCAGCAGCCCCCCAGGGTGGGCACCTCTGGAGCAGTCCCGTCTCATTTCCCAGCACAGGCCGAAGGCCGGCCCCTCCCACGGCCCGAGACCCCTCCACAGCTGAGGACACTAGGCTCAGAGAGGTGCAGGCTGCAGGAGAGCCCGTCAGACCTCTCTGGCCTCTCAGCTGGGCCTCAGTTTCCCCTCAGCCCCAGGTGAGGGCAGCACTAAGGTTCCCACAATGGGGGGTGTCTCTGGAGCCGGAAGGCAGTGGGCCAGGACAGCTGCAGGCTCAGGCGCAGGGACCTCAATTACCGCCGCCGACTCGGAAATGTCAACGGCGCCTCCCGCACCCCAGCCCTGAGTTTGGGCTGAAATAGCAGCAGCCCCAGCCCTGAATGAATTGCTTGGAAATCACATAAT